CAGATATAAAATTTTACATGAAAACCTAGCACACGAATATTGATTTTCAAGATCTCAAGCAAGTTGTCGTCCTAGATTCAATCTCAACTTCTAGTTCAAGAATAGCAGTCGTTTATTACATTCTTTAACATGTATCATGGGACAACAGAAAAATGATATATTGAAGCAGGAATCTATAAAGATCCAAGTAAAATAGCAGCTTGTATGCTTCCATGGGTATGATTTTACCATTTATGATCTATCTTATGCAAATTTTGGTTTTCAAGATCTCAAAAAGGCTGTCCTAGATTCAATCTCAGACCCAACTGAAGCAGAAATCTATAAAAATCCAAGTAAAATAATAGTTTGTATGTGTCCATGAGTAGCAATAGGGAGGAGCTTACCAAGCAAAAATAACGTGGCCTGGAATAAGGCACACCAAACTGCAGTGGGCTCAATATAAACTCTTGTGTAGTATATTCAGAACTTGCTAATATCTCTATCATTTTTGCATGTGTATCTGAAGTCTGCCATGAAAAGGCAAATGACACAAAGAATAAGTAAAAGTTTTACAATGTGAATCACCAGCTAAATCAAACTAGTCAGGAACAAACCTCAAATCCAACAACATTTTCCACAAACAACATATTTGGAGGTTGCTTAGTGTGAGGAATAAGTTCAAGAATCTTGAGAAAAGAAAACGCTCGAGCATCACCAGATTGCTTTTGAAGACCTAATCAATATGTTAACCTAATTCATTTCCTCCAATCCACAAAACAATCCATGGAAAGAAAACACATGCGTGCGAGCACACAAACAAGTGGTAGTTCTGACCTTGTCGAGTGTAGGGTTGACAAGGTGGTGAGAGGAGCCACGTGTGTGCCCCATAGTTGTCAAGATCAGCAGCCGTCAGAGTCTCAATATTACCCTATAGTTCCCAAAATATATAAGAAGACAAAATGTAAAGGAGAACTTTACAAAACTCTAGACTCAAAACACAAAGACTATATCGTTAAAACTCACTGCAGCTTAAATGCCAATTGCCAAACAACCACACACATACACAAACAGTAAACCAATCTCCAAGACTCCAACTTTGGGGAACTCAAAGCCCATATTGAAACAATAGGAAATGGACAGAGACCCTTTTTAGAGCTTCTCATGTGATAAAGCATCACGGCAACTCAGAATAACAAGATCAAGAGTCTTGTTTCAGGAGCTTAACGCCCGCATATCAATTATTAGCAGAATGGGCAAATGATAAAATCCATTTTTAGAGCTTCTCGATCAACAAATCACTACAAAAACTAAGATGCCAACGCATTCAGAATTCAACAGCAACACTACAGAATAAAGAACTCGAAGCTCAAACCTGATAAGGACGGTGGCCAAAATTGTGTTCATAAACATCATTAGCTTTGTCATTTATGTCAAAAGCTTCCACTACTTTTGCATTGACACCAGCCTTCATAAGTGAATATCTCTAACAAAACACAAAAAAAAAAACCATTACTTAGTGATGCAAGCATGTGTAAGTAGATATGAGGGCGGGTGTTGACGGCGTTGGGTTAATTACCATGCCACCAATACCACTGTAGAATTCCAGGACTCGCCATGGCTCTTCTTCTTGTTTGGGTAGAAGACCCTTCTTCTCCCCCATTGATTCTTTCTTTCTTTCTACGCTTCAAGTTGACGTTTTAAGTTAGAAATCCAGATTGGGTTTTGGGGTTTTAAGGAGGCTGAATAGTGCATTTTGCTAGAGTTTCAAGACTCGCCGTTTTGGACAAGTCCACTAGCATGATGCCCTTTTTTTTTTTCCTTGTTTTTCTTTCCTTTGTTGATGTTTGAACCGGAGCTCTTAAACCTAGCCCGCGGAGCAGCGAGTGGGCTCATATAAATGGATTAATCTCAGTCAATTAAAATATTATTATTTTAATATTTAAAAATAAACAGATAAATATTATATATATATATATATATATATATTAAATTAGTATTTAACCGGTCTTCACTAATTCATCTTGTTATTTTAGTTAGACTAGGTTAATTTTTACTATAATGTTTATAATTTTAATTCAATCCATATCTCAAATCGATCCACAAGAGGGGATCGAGTTTAATAGCAGCCCAGTTAAATCATATATATAGATTAATAGCTCAATTGGTAACATAAAAAAAATTTAAATATAATCTATATAGATAAATGAAACTAGTCCAACTAAACGAGGTATATTAGGTAGAGAGTCGATTGTATAGAATATAAGGTGTAATAATAGGTATAATTTAAAGTGTTTTTTATTTAAAAAAATATAACTAAAATAATATTTTTTTTATTTTTTTTAAATATTTTTAATACTAAAATATCAGAATAGTATAAAAATATTTTTTTAAAAAAAAAACAGATTCTAACCGCTGTACTGAACACAATGGTTGACGTTTAGAATCTAAACAGCCAGTATCGTTTCTTTGTTAAACCTGCATATTGGTGTAGTTCAAGGCATGATCACTGGTTTGGTACATCACTCCAGTTGCTGTTGAGTTCCGTGTAATAAATTTGCAATGTTAAGTACTTGTATGGAAACATAGTGGAGGGTTTTTTAAAAAATATATTTTATTTTAACATCAAGCACTGAGGCCATAAAAAAATAAAAATAAATAAAAACTAGAAGATTATCAACGCGAATCAAAAGGCAAACACTTTCACGGTATTAAATGTGTTTTGAGTCCCATGTCTGACGCACGTGTACCTGCAAACGCAACGTGTATTGCGATGGATGGTGGCATTAATAATCTTGCAGCAAATACATTAACAGGAGCTAAAATACAAGGATTTTCACTGTAACCTCTTCAGTTGAGTTATTCTTCACTGTAATAGTGATTTTACAGTTTTGTCCTGCCGTTCAGGAAAAACTCAACGTTGACCATGAAGAGCATTTGAGTATTTTCACAGGGTTGTTTTGTTAACTGGCTGGGCAGTTTTCTTACTTTCACGATAATTTTTCGTTATTATCGAATCTGTCTAGAGGTAATTTGATATTTAATTAGATATTAAAATAAAAAAATGAAAGATAAAATGAAATAACTAAAATAATTTTAAAAATAAAATTTTTAAAGCTGGTGTCAATGTGCTTTTTCATTTTCTCACAATGGTTTTTTTTTTATTATTATCATATCAAACATAAAAACACTTTGTTGTTTAATCATACATGTAAAAAAGTTGAGGCGTACGTGTCACATTCTCTAGCACATAAAAGACACCTCCCCACATGAAAAATATTCTTCCACTATGTTTTTAGAAGTGTCATAATGTTTTCCTCATGGTGATGCGCCTCGTGTTAGAGATGATAGTCTGGTTTATAGGCGATGAGTGTTTTTTTGTTTTTCTTTCTCAAGAATTATAATTTTACTCTTTTATTAAATAGTATGTCAACTCCAGTTTTTATTTTTTTATTTTTTATTTTTTGATTTTGATTTTTTTGTATGAATTTTATTTATTTTAAATTTTATTATTTAATTTTAATTTACCATATATTATTTTTTTAATTTGATCATCACTGTTTTAATTATTTTTTTAGAGTTTTATTAGATTAAATTTTCTTTTAAATGTCACCTTTCAATAAGAAATTTTTTTTTTTTTTAAATTTTAAGCGTTGCTGTTTTAATTGTTTTGTTGTTATAATGTTTAATTATTTTTTTCCAATCTCATCATTTAATAAAAAAAATAAGATTTATTTTGTATTTAATTCATGATCTTATTTTTTAAATTATTATTTTTTGAATCTTTTTATATAATTAATATTTTTTAGGTCAATTATTTAAAAATTAATTGATTAAAAATTGAGTTTTGTGTTTTTTTTATAGAAAAGACACCTTCAATATAATATCTTGGATTCCATATTTGAAAAGTTAAAATATATTGACATTCATTTTTTTTGTTTTCTTTTTAGCTTTATGGTTTAATGAACTAAAAATTTAACTACATCATTCATCATATCTTATAAAAATACAATGTTCCCAAGTTATCATTATCAATTTATTTTCAAGGCCTGTTTGTTGTCATTATTTTTTTATCACTTGATTAAAATAAAATCAATCCATTTGACTTATTCCGATTTATAAATTGAGTTACATATATTTTTTCTTTTTAAAAACATTTTCACACTACTTTAAATATTATTTTCAATATATAAATAAATAAATAAATATAACTAGTAGTGTCCCGTGGGTACATGCAACTAATTAAATCCCCAGGCGTTTAATAAAAAATAATAATTTGTATACAGTGAAGTCTTGCCAAGCTAAGATGCTATGCTGTGACAATGAGATACAAAGAAAAGATATTAATATACACGAGTTAGGCATAAAAGACAAGGTTGTTTATTTTTCATAAATATTTTTAAGAGAAATTAAAAATTTTAAGTTTTTTTATTTACTTTAAATAAATATATTTTTAATATTTTTAAATTATTTTAATACGCTTCTATAAAAAATAATCTCTTAAAAATAAAAAAATTTTATTTTAATATAATTTTAAATAAAAAACATTTAAAAAATAACCATAACTACACTACAAAACACAAAAAACCTTGTATGGATTGTGGGCTTTTATAACTTACAACGGATTTGATTGCTCTTCTGCTGTACCTGCAATTTCCTGGGCTGGCCCAGGAAAGCCAGGCCTTTTTGCTCGAGGCCTTTTTAATAAAAATACAGCACGAGACTACTAGCAGATATTCCAAGGGCAAAAAGAAGAAAACAAGAAAAGCTTCAAAAGCAAAACTTCTCCAGCTTCCTGGGTCCTTCTTCGCGGAATCGGAATATTTTTTTTTTTGTGTAATAATTACGCACAATTACCTTAACTCTGTGGTTAAAACCTATATATATTAAAAGAGAGAGAGAGAGACATCACCCGCTTGGTCGGGGACAAATCCGTCATTTTAAAAAGCAAGCGCCATTTAAGACACGAAACATAACAAACCCCGAGGGTAACAATGTAATTTAGCAAGTAACTAGAAGGAGCTAGGCTCTCCTTGTTTAGCAGCAGCACCTCGCTCATATTTTTATAATCTCATCTCCTTACGCTCACTGTTTCTGTGGCTCTGAGTCTCTCAGGTAAAAAATAAAACCCTAGCTTACCTTTTCATTTCTCTCTATTTATTTTTATTATGATTTTTATATTCACCCCCCTTGTTTTTTTACTCCATCTTCTATTTCTCTTGTCTGATCTAATACGCCCTGTCAATTTTTGAGCCGTGATTTTTTTATTTAATTTTTGTTGTTTTTTTGGTAGGTTTTATAATTAGTGATTTCTTAGATATGATTTTTTTTTGAGGTATTGTCTTTTTTTTTCCATTCCTAATCTGTGGGCATCTAGCTAGGGTTTAAGGTTTTTTTTTGGCTAATTAGAGTTTTGCACGAGTACTAGCTTTGTTGAGATTTTTTTTTTGTTGTAAATTAGTTAAGGTTGTAGAGAATGGAGCTACTGTTTTGGTTCCAGGATGATGAATTTCTGGCGGGTTTTGTTTATTGTTAAAATTGACTCTAGATCTACTGGAACGGTTGATGCGAGCTTAACTCAATGTTTTTTTGTAAAGATGGTAATGTGTTACTTGGGTATCAGGTTATTGGTTATGGTGGCTTGAGTTTGTGATACTAGTAAGTTATGGAGAAGAAGATGGCGAAGAAGAACCCGTTGGTTTTTATGGATGTGTGTATTGATGGCGATCCTAAGGAGAGAATGGTTTTTGAGGTATCATCATGTTTCAAGTTTCAACCTTGTAGGATGGATGAGGAAATACCTGTACGTTGAGTGTTGTTCTTGCATTGTTATTAATTTGTCCATGATTTTTTGTTCTGCAGCTTTTCTTGGATATTGCTCCCAAGACTGTAGAAAATTTCCGTGCTCTGTGTACAGGTAATAGCTACATGCTATAGTAGTCTTTGTAATGACTTGTCTTGTGATGGTAGTGCTGTCTTGTGTACCATTTATTCGTCCTCAATTGATGATTTTTCATCTTGTTTCTGGATGGGAATACCTTCTTTTCAGTTTTATTTGAAGGTTGGTTCAGTAGATTTTAGAAATTCAAGTTTGTATTCATTTGTCGCCTTTGTGATGTTTTCAATCTTAACACTCAGGGGAAAGAGGAATTGGTCCTAAATCTCAAAGACCATTGCACTACAAGGGATCCTTTTTCCATCGCATCATTAAAGGTTCCATGGCTCAGGTTTGTTGGTCTGTCTAGTGCACATCTAGGTTTTTCTTACATAGGTTTGATTAGTTTTCTTGTTTGAACATGGCCTAGAGGTGGTCCATCTTTTAGTCAGTTACCCTTGTTTATGCTGTAGGATTACAGGGCTGATGGTCACGACTGCATTTCTTGTGATGTAGTTTTAAGGTTGTACTTACTGAGTTGTCCATCCTCAAAATTTTACTATGCTTCACCATGCCCAACCCGTTTTGTAAAAATAGTTTTGCTAGTTGGTGGACTAAGATCTTGTGTTAATCTTGCAGGGCGGTGATATTTTGAAACGAGATGGTATGTAATTCTTTTTCTGGCCATTCATCTTCTTCTTTTTTTTTGTTTCATGCAGTTTATGATTTCTCATGATGCATGAATTTGAAATTATAACCTTAATTGTTTTAACAACTCTAAAGTTATTCATCTTATTATTATAGAATTTCTGCTACCCTTATTTGTTTCCCTTCAAATTTAGGGAAAATCAACCAATTTGCCCTTATACTTAGAAGCTAATCTCCAATTAATCATGGAACTTTTAATTGCACCTATTTTATGCTTGAACCACCATAAAATCTGTATGATGAACTTTTGCTAGTGAAATCTGTTAAACTTGGTTTTGTGTCCTGTACATGCTTCATCCCTGATAATTAATAGGTTTAGTTGCCTTTAATAAAGGGCCTCTGCCGCATGCATTGGGTGAGAAAGTTTTTCTTTAGCCACTTGATTGTTTAATCTAAATGGGTTTCTGTCAGTTTCTGTTTTATTCTTGGATAAAAAACCTTTCTATCTCAAAAACTCAAATCTCCATTTCCACGTCTCTGTTGGAACTGAGATTGGGATGGTAGAATTTAATAAACTTCTCTAATAGAAGACTGTATGTATATTTCCACTATGCTCTAGACTTATCATGTATGCAATTGATCGTTTAGAGGGTAGTTTGAAGGGTAGGTCCAAAGTATAAGGGTAGATTGATAGAATCTTTTCTTGAGATTTATAATATTTTATATATTTAAAGATGTAAAATCTTGTTTGTTTTAGTGACTACCAATTCTAAGACAGTAAGTTTTGGCCAAGGGATGATACTATGGTCTATAACATAACTCCTATGATTTGCCCCTAATACATTGTCTGAAATCAAAGTTCTCTTATAATTAACGTGTTTAAGCTCTTATGCAAGATAAACAAGCAATGAGAATGAAACATGAGTTTAGATTTTCAGGGGATAGAGCATCCTGAAATGTTTTTGCTCTTGAAATTCTTGACTATTTTGTTTTCCTCTCATGCAGGGACCTTTGGAGAGAGCATATATGGGGGCAAGTTTCCGGGTGAGAATACTTGAAATCTTATGTTCATGTTGATTACTGTTGTGAAGGTTAATGTTATAAATTTTGTGAGTATACAATTGAGAAATTGTGTATTATATGCATCATGCCAATAGAAATGAAATTATCATTTGTGCATATACTTTAACAATGGGTGTTGATGATGCCAATCCATATTGTTTTTATATCACTCCGCTCAACAAAGTCATTTAATTTTGTAATTGTGCTACTGACTGGAGTGTCATTATCAATTGTGGAGTGGCAGTATCATTGGCCTTTTAACTATAGGTTAAAGGTGTCCTCAATGGGGGTATACTGAATGTCAAATGGCATGTCTTTAAATGTATGTACGACTTGCCCCCAAGGTCCAAATATTTCTGAATCGCGTTTTATATGTACTTTTTTTATGCTAGCTTATCATATATCTTTGTGCCTACAACTTTGGAGTTTTTGGTTTTTCTTTGTGTCTTATTTTAGAGGCAATGAAGTGTCGGAATTTGAAGATATGTTTCGGATAGCAAAACTATGCTTTGCTTCTCTATCTCTTAAGGATAACACCTCCTCTTAGAAACAATTCTAATGAAATAGTGCAAATATTAAAGCTGGCACTGTTATTTTGCAGGCTGAATTTTGTTTTTGGACATATCATACACTCAACCTCAGTTTATTGTTCCTAACTTCCTATAACAATGACCGAAGCAGTTTGATGTTTGTTTAGAGTGCTGAAATGTGAGAACTCAGATTCTGCTTTGCACATGGTGCCATAATTTCACCGCATTCATGCTTGGTCCCCAGTGCCATTTAGCAGCCTGGGATCTACCAGTCTTGCATTGTCTATGGGACTTGAATTATAATTTTATCTTGATTTTCCGAGTTGCTACATTCATGCAGCAAGTTAAAGTGATACTCATTTCAATGCGGTAACAAGTGATTTTTGTGGCGCTCTTGCAGACGAGTCTCCAAAGCTAAAACATGATGAACCGGGTCTTCTGTCCATGTCAATTGCTGATCGTGATGCTTTAGGCTCTCAATTTATTATTACCTTCAGGGCTAATCATCATCTTGACAGGTTTGTTACTTAGGAAGCATGTCAATTCTTCGAAGTTGATACCCTTATTTTCACTCCCTGTTTGATTTGTCATAACTTCTATGATTTACAGTGCTTGTGGATTTTATATGACAGGAAGTATGTAGTCTTTGGGAAGCTTGTGCAAGGAGATAAAGTACTGAAGAATATTGAAGATGTGGGTGATGAAGAAGGGAGACCCACTGTAACAGTGAAAATAATCAACTGTGGTGAATTTATAGAGGGTAAGAAATCTATAGTCAACATGTGTGGCGATATGTGTGACTTTGTTGTTGGGCCTGTTTTATTTGTTTTTTAGAGATCTGATGAGTGTTGAAGGAATACTTTCTTTCTTGTTTCCTGCTCTTTCTGTGTTATCCATTTTATTTAACATGATGTGCCACTGTTTTTTCACAAGTTTTACTTTCAATGTCATTTTTTCTGCAGACAAAAAGAAAGTAAATAAACTGAAAGTGGAAAAGCACAAGAAATCTTCTAGAGACAGAAAGAGGAGGAGGAGAAACTGCATGTCCGATTCGGAGAGTTCATCTGATTCTGATATGGAATCAACGGAATCTGATAGTGATTCTGACTCCCTTTTGTCCTCATCATCTGAGATTAGTTCTTCAAGTGAAGATAGGCGCAAGAAGAGAAAGAGAACTTCTAAACGAGACAAACATAGACGTGGAAAAAAACGAGACAAGAGACGTGAAAAGAGGCGAAAGAGACGTGACAAGCGATCCAAACGTAGAACAAGAAGGTAGCTGCATTGCTATGATTTCTTAACTTAACCCTTCGAAAGAAATCTGTGTCAATGTTACTTTAATGTTTTTATGGGAGTTATCTTCTTAGATTCAAGATTTCTGCCATTAACAAGGAATGATTCCAAACTGCTTTGATTACCCCTCTTCCTGCCTCTGCCAGAAAGAAATAAGTTGAGCTTTGGTTTTTAATAACCTCACATTCTTTCATCTCTTAGATCATCAGATAGTCTCACAGATGGTGAGAGTGAGAGTGAAACCAGCTCTGATGACGATGCTCTTAATGCTCAAGCAAAACAGAGGAAGTGTAGAGACCCTTCTCAGAAAACTGGTACTGCATCTTGAAATGATTCCATCCAAGTTTTTTGCACAGCTCCAAAATCGCTGCAGAATGTTCAGAAAAGTTCATATGATTTCTGTTGCTTATTTATTTTGATGCATGTTGTGTATGTGTCATCTTCATATTGACTGTACTGGTTCTTTTTAAAATTAGCTATTAATTTGACGCTTTTATATCTGATGCTAACAATGTTGGAAGTGGAGTGAAACTTTGTTTTCTCTTGAATTGCCGCCTTCATTTGTATTGTGTTTAAGTTTGGCATCATGGCCATTCTCCTGTGATGGTCATGTATTCTGCATTTAACAAATATTGGACTACCTGCTTTGTGTAATGTTGCGCAGCTGAGGGTCAGTCTCCTGTGGTTTTGGAAGAAGAAGTTGCCTCCCTTCCTTGTAAAAGGAGGGAGGAACCTGATATACTTGAAAAGGAAGATGGTGAATTCCCCAAGGAAAATGGATCTCGACGAAGTAATGGCATGGAGGCAGATGCTAAATCCTATGGCAGTGAAGATAGAGAACCTGATATCAGAGATGATCACCCAGGAAAATCCAGGTCTACTTTCCATTCATGTCACACCTCAGTTATTCTTTATGCTTTCAGATTCTTCCAGATGTGTATTTTATTGTAAGCTGATGAGCAGGAGCCAAAGCATGAGTCCCAAGAGGACCTCAAGTAAGAGTATGAGTATTAGTCCCAGGAGGAGCCTGAGCAAGAGCCCGGATGTTAGTCCAAAGAGAAGCGCTAGCAGGAGTCGCAGTGCTAGTAGAAGCCATCCTCGTGTCTCGCAGAGGAGTATCAGCAGAAGTCCTGTTAGAAGTGGCAGCAGCCAGAGCCCAGCTAGAAGTTTCAGCAGAAGTCCTGTGAGGGCAAAGAAGGCTAGAAGCATAAGCACGAGCCCGGTGAGATCTCGGTCTCGAAGAAGTTTTAGCAGGAGCCCTGTGAGAGCACTGCCTCAAAGAAGCCGAAGCAGGAGCCCGGTGAGATCTCTGTCGCGATCATTGAAAAAGTCAATTAGCAGAAGTCCTTTAGGAGATTCTAAGAGAAGCATAAGCAGAAGCCCAATTAGATCTCGGAGAAGCATAAGCAGAAGCCTGGTTCGATCTTCCCGGAGAAGCATCAGCAGAAGCCTGGTTAGATCTCGGAGGAGCAACAGCAGAAGCCCGGTTAGATCTCGGAGGAGCAACAGCAGAAGCCCGGTTAGATCTCGGAGGAGCAACAGCAGAAGCCCGGTTAGATCTCGGAGGAGCAACAGCAGAAGCCCGGTTAGATCTCGGAGGAGCATCAGCAGAAGCCCGGTTCGATCTTCCAGGAGGAGCGTCAGCAGAAGCCCCATTAGATCTTCTCGGAGAAGCATTAGTAGAAGCTCTGGCAGGAGATCTTCTCGGAGAAGCGTTAGCAGGAGTCCAATTAGGGCACCGAGCAGGAATAATCGTCGCAGCTACTCAAGGAGCCCTAGCATACGTAGGGCAAGGTTTCCTGATCGAAGAAGTTTGTCAAGAAGTATTTCCCCAGACGGGTCTCCTAAGCGCATCAGGAGGGGAAGAGGTTTCAGTCAACGATATGCTTATGCTCGGAGATACAGAACTCCCTCTCCCAAGCGTTCTCCTGTGAGATCCTTCCGTTATAGCGGGCGTGATAGGTACCTGGCAAGCCAACATCCTTTGGTTTCTGCTCACTTTCTGTCTGATATGTTTAAAATCTTGTGGGCTATCCTGTTCAACTACATGATGTATTTTCTGAAATGACAATTCTCACTTTTATGATTTGTTTCTAGATATTCCAGTTACCGAAGGTATTCTCCTAGGCGTTTTAGAAGTCCTCCAAGAGGAAGAACTCCACCAAGGTCTGTGATCTACTTTGTTTTTATGGTCGATTTCATTTCTTATTGGATTGTATAGTGATGCTGGAAATACAGTTTTACATGGAAGTTGGAAGTGTCCTCTTAAATGGGATGATTCCAAGCTTATTTCTGGAAGTACTTTATTTATACTTGTGCATTTTTCTGTCTTGCTATCTTAATTTCTCTCTTTGATACTGTTAGCAGATATAGAGGGAGGAGAAGTCGTACGCGAAGCCCATCTGTATCACGCAGCCCCCGTTATCGCAGTCGTCATTATAGCCATAGTGGCAGCCCTGTTTGCAGTCGTTCCCCAGTTGATGTGTCCAAGTCTCGTCTGTCTCCACAAGTTGCAAGGCAGAGGTCGCTGTCTAGCAGCCGAAGTCCATCAAAATCACGATCTTCATTAGATTCCCAGTCGCCAAAGCGACTCAGCAAAGACAGATCAAGGTCATCATCAAGGAGCCCTGTTGGGAAGAAGGGTCTGGTGTCGTATGATGATGGTTCTCCCGACTCTAGTTAAAGGTGAACTGGGTGAAAGACGTGACGTTGATGATATCCTTGGTCAGGACAAGCTTGAGCTATGTATCCTTCATTTTGAGAAGTTGCGTTTGACGATGAACTAGGGACGTGTTTTTTCCCTCCCCTTCCAACGGGACCTAAATTGCTGTTTTTTTTTTTTTAACCGGGACAGATAATGTAGTCACATATAATATTCGTAGTGTGGTTCAGATTTATCTTTGGCGTGTTGCAAGGATATAGAGTAATAATTTATCTTATAAAGGAACCTAGAATCAAGCTGCTGCTGGTTGTCCTTACTCTTTCCTTGTGTTAACTTGCTGAAAGCTAGGTTGAAGTGGAGGTGGGAGATGATTTATGTGCCTTGGGTTGGGGACTTAGTTTTTGAAGCTGGAATTTTTGCGTATTCAAGTTGCATCTGTTCTTGCGGAGTATTGTGGTGCCTGAACGAGCGTGGGCTGTGATGCACTTGTGACTTCTTTTCATCAACAATCATTTTGGTGGTGAAGTCTGCTCATGAACACCTTAAACGCTGGTACCAATTCTCAGTACCTGTCACCATCTTTCCTATATACAATTGACCTGATGAAGTTATTTTAAAAAAATTATTTTTGATATAAATAATTTTCAACTGCATCCCAGACAACCTCTTCCCGGCTGCTTTCGGTTTTCCTAGCAACCCGGTTAAAATGCAGGCCAGAAGCTTAATGTCCTGTTGCAATCCCCATTGCTTGACAAGAACTCCAGTTCACCAATACCTCCAAAGCATGCATAAATAGCTGAATTGGGTTTTTAGAAATTAAGCTATCTCAAAAATTCATGTTCATCAAGAGAGGCTTTCCTTCCCCCCAGCTTTATCATCTACGTTTCTGTTGCATAGTGAAACCGGTCCTGCATGCCATGCCTTTCTTCCACAACCTTTCTATAATGACCAGCATAAACTGTGTCAAGTTCGTAGAAGCTCTCGACAACAAGTCCATAATTTTTGCAAATCTGCGTCTTTAACCTTCTTGAAAACCGTGGCAAGGTCAGATTCATCATGTTTTTCATGATAAGGCACTTCCTTCCTTGTCAACTTGATATCACCACCAAAAAGGGTTCAGAATCCGATGATATTTTCTTGGGTGGCTCGTATAATCCTAGGCATCGATCAGTTTATGAAGAGAACCCTTGAATTCCAAACCTAGCCGCAACATCGGTAGTCCAAGGAAAAAACACATCTGCAATAGGACAACCAGTTAATCAGGGTGGATGTCATCTAGTAGCCTCCGAAGGAGTTCTTGAAAAACACGTCTGCAATAGGACAACCAGTTAATCAGGGTGGATGTCATCTAGTAGCCTCCGAAGGAGTTCTTGAAGCATGGCAGTTGCCATGGAAATCTTTGCAATTAATTGCCAACTCATAGATCGGGAAACCATCAAGTCCACATTTTCACGTCCTCGTGGCAACCCGGTCTCTACTAGGAGATGTGATGGTGTGTACATGCATTCATTTCAAAACCCAAATCTTTGGTTCTCTGGATTGTTTTGGACAAGAGAGGCACATTAAGGACTGGTGACTAGCTTGTCCTTGGGCCATGGGAAGCAAATACCTTGACCTTATGACGCAATGAAAAACAGGTTGAATTACAAGATAAAAGGTTGTGATGGGTTGGTCTTTTCAGTTTGGTAGGTTTACTAGGTAAGCTTGAAGCCAGCTGTTTTCATGGTTTCTGTGCTGATCCTTTTCTGTTCGCGACCGCTACAATTTCAAGGATTGTCGATTGTGCTCTGCTGGTCTTCGATGCAGATGTAGAAGTATATTTTTTAATAAAATCACCGAGGTATTGAAAGGGAAATCATAAATGAATGGATGAACTTGGAAATCGATCCATCATCATATTGGATATACACATTCGATTATAGGCTATATAAAGGTAAAAAATAAAATAAAAAAGGATGCCGAAATAGATTGTTTCCTAGGGGCACCAAGCAGATAATAAAGACTTTTGAATTGGTCAAAAGGAAGCAAGGTGCATGGAGACCTCACTCAGTCCAATACCTATTTCATAATCCCTTGCATTTTATGGAAACCATCCTCGGAGAATTGGCATAGGTTTACAACCAGAAACTTCATGATCTTGCACGAAATACTTGCATGTTCAAGTAGATGAACCTTGAGACATTAATCAACTTAGTTGTGAGAGTTCCGTTCCTGAAATGCAAATTTTTTGTAGCTCAGAGATTGGCAATAGTATTCAACGAAGCCATGCGCTTTCTCCCGAGAGTCAAACACCTACAATAGAGAAATGGATGCGGCAGCAAACATGAGAGGTTTATATCAAAGAAGTTAACTAGAACACCCTATGGGAAATGGCCTTTCAATTTTGAAGGCATTCAAAATTCAGGCAGAACAATAAGCTCAGAACTGAAGCTCTAAAGGGACTAGGTTCTTAGATCTCTCCACAAAATACAGCACTGTCAGTGAGTACTTGAGTTTTGAAGGCTTGTGGTTGGGTTCAGATAGCTATCCATGGTGGTTAATGAAACACAGCATTTCCTTGTGTCCGTCCGTACAAAATGCAGAGTTTTAATAGCCCAGGCAACGATGACATGAGACAGTGCATGAAGCAGTATGGACAAGGGACTGTTCCAAATTTTCCAGAGTGATCTACTTTATAGGGAAGAAAACTAGGGAGGCCCCGATTAAACTTTTATCAGACAATGATAATGAAGGAACATATGGACCATGGCTGCAATAAAAGGCATTCTGTGCAAAGAAGTTAAAGGACCACACCAAGAGAATCCAGAAATAGAGGGACTGAAGTTCACGAAAAACCTATTTTGCACAAGATGATTAGATAGTGCAAAGTAACCAATATGTTCCATGAAAATTTCTGATTTTTTCAACCGACTGTGTCATCATAGCCTCATTGCATTCAGTATTAAAAGCAAAGAAGACAATGATAAAGCAATGATGCTAGGTGATGTTTCGATGTAATTTTTCTAGCACACATCAAACTTTATTTTTATAAATAATATTACGAATTATGATTCCTGGTGCGCTAATCCTTTCTGTCAAACTCCATCTTTTTTATTTCTGTCTTCTTTGTTTTTGTGCTTCCATCCACATCATATTTGCCATCTAACTTGTGCTAAATCTTCTTGTTCGTTCAATAGGAAACCATTTTTAGCTTTTGAAATCCTCCCAGCCATTTGTTGGTATTATAAAAATATGATTAGCCTGTTTTCTTGTGTTTGTCCATGTAGATGGACGCTTTTAGTGGTACGACCACTGGTGTCCAAGGTAAGAAAATAATTATTCTGTGATGTAAGCTATGGGATTGTCGAAACAATGCTGCTAAATTGCAGAACTGATAATACAACAAATGGAGATTTTTCCAATGCCATTAGACATTGGAAATTTCTATTATTCTGACTTGATCATTTGCCTCATGATTATATAGTTATGTTGAGCATATCAGCTGTGTGAACTTTGAAATTGCTGCTGCCTCTTGGAAGACTAGTAAAACCATGTCAGCAACACGGCTGCGTGAAACCATTACTGAATGCCTCGCTGATGTTCAATCAGACTCCGTTGATGCTCAGCGGAAAGCTCTGCAAACCCTAGCTTCCCTTACCAAGGTCAGTCCCCAGAACAGGAGCTTGCTTGCACGAACAGACGGTGTCGTATCTACCCTTCTTACCCTGACCAAAATCTCCTCCTCTATCATCAGAATCCTTGCGTTATCCATTCTTTTCAACCTCTCCCTGAACCCTGATCTAAAGTGGAATCTTGCAGATATGGAAACCATTCATCATCTCAATTCAATAATTCTCTCAACAAGTTCCCCTGAAATCAACCGGTTAGTTTGCTCTTTGATTTGCAGCTTGGCGATGCTAGACAAAAACAAGGCCAAGTTTGGGGTGGCAGGTACTGTCCAGCTGCTGGTTGGTGCTATTTCAGGACCTCGTTGTCCTGCCTCTCACCATCTCCTTAGTTCCTTGGCTGAGCTTGTGCAGTTTCATGGGAATTGTACAGTGGCCGTCCGTTCAGGAGCAGTCCAAGTGCTCATTGGAATAGTGGAGAGCACAGATGGCGAAGATTTGGCGGGGACTTCTCTTGCTGTTCTAGGTCACCTAGCTCGGTTCAGTGAAGGATTGAATGCCTTAATAAGAACTGACCAGATCGTGAGTTCTATGTTAAATGTTCTAAGAGGGAGGAGCATGCTGAGCAAGGAAGGCGCAGCGGAGATTCTTCTTCGGCTTTTCGACGAAAGTGAAGGTTGCGTTAGAGATGCTTTCAGGCTGCCAGAGTTCTCGTCTGTCCTGGCTGATATTTCAGTGAGAGGATCATCGAAGGCACGCGAGAAGGCAAATCAGCTACTGAAGAAGATGGTGGATGCTAACCTTGATCCTTACACTGATGGGAACTCCCTGTTTCTCCCATGGTATCAATGAGGCTGTTGAATAATAATCTTCTTTATTTGACAATTTATTTACCAATAATCTTGAAATCTCCAGCATCAGAATGCCTGTATAGCCATTGATTGCATAGTAATCCAACGATCTATTCATAGCTATGGTGATAATAAAACCATCAACAGCTCAAGAATGTCAATTCGTTTTCCATTGATGAATGATTGAATTGCACTCGGGTGGCCTGCATAACTGGATGAAATCAAAGGGCTTGGTTTCACGAGTCTCTACATTTTTTTTAACAGGATCAAAGATGAAGGTGTCCACCACAGACAACCTAATATTCTTGTTGTCCTCTGTTTCCTTTTCCTAGTAAAATGGTACTGGTTTTTTCTCGACAATATCAGAGGAACCTCTTCTAGGCCCTCGAGTGTTCATCATCATGACCAAGAAAAGGCCGGAATCACTCGAGATTTTCCCTCTCTTTTATGTTCTTGAACGTGATGTCATGAGCATCAGTAGGGGGCCGGCGTGGCCTAGGATTAAAATAGACAAAGATACTTGCCCAATGGACACTTCTTGAGTCCATTGGTCAACTAAATTCCATTTCACCGGGCGGGCCTCGGTCTAAACTGATAGATTGATTCAAATTTAATATCAAATATTAATCTATTAAAATTAGTTATTTTAGATACGTATTTTATTGTTTTAACCAACTTGAAATCCCATCAAAACTTGATTAAATATGTTAAATAATATTTATGTCATCTTATTTATTAAAAATAAAATAATATTTTAATTTAATTTATATATATTTTATTTTTATTTAAATTAAAACTAAACACTCATAATATACAATAATTCAGAATTTTATGTTTTTATTTTTTTTGTATTTAATCTTAATTATTTTAACAAAATCAACATCAAATTTATTTAAAAAATAAAAATAAAAATACATCATTTTAATAAAAACATTTAGCTTCCAGAATCCATAAAATTTACTTAATGACACGAGTTCTTTTTCAAATCAACGAATCTGAAAACTATACTTAAATTACAAATCACTTTTATAAAGAAAGCAGCTATTTATCTCGATAGTGGGGGCATGCCCTCCCGAGGCCAAATTGAATCGGGCTTTCATTTCATATCATAATCATTATATATCAAGAACATAAAGAGCTCGCACAATGCCGCGATCATAAGAATATCCCTACAATTTGCACTAGTCAATTCCCACTTTCATCTCTTCAAAACCCCACCAATATTTACATGATTTTATTTTTATTTTTCCTCACAGTTAAAGAATATATATATAAACTTTTATGTTCAAATCTTGAAATGAAGAAATGATTGAATTCAGATTTGTACTAAATTAATATAAAAAGGAATATCTTTATAAAAGAATATTAAACATGATTAACATCAGGACTGTCAGCTTAAATAATACTATAAGCACTGTTGTTTGCATTACTATGCAAGATACTTCACTCCTAATTGAGCCAAGGGAGATGGCATCAGCCTCTATGTTTTTTGTCTGCATATCAATGAATTGAAACTTTAAGACTTTTGGGCAAAAGAAAATCTGCTTTAAGCATGTTTGATATTCTCGTTGCAGTCATTTTTTTTTATTTTTTTTTAATATATAATATGTTTTTCAAATATATAATTGAGCCAGTTATTCTCCTTCTAATCGGTTGTGGGGCATGAAAAGAGTTAGACATCTTAAAAAGTTTGATTCCCTCTCCCTACCTAAAAAATTCTAACGAGACTTTTTTTTTAATTATAATATGTTTTTAATTTTTTTTTAAAAGATATTAAACTAATATCTTTGAAGTATTTTTATATATTTTTGATATATTAATGTTAAAAAATATTATTTAAAAATATATTACATTTCGTTACTGAATATATATTTAATATTTCTATTAATCACGCCTTTTGTACAAACAAGTGAGGGTTGTGTTTGAGGGCCTATGTACTCTTTGTAATTACAAAGGCCATTCAAATGACATTTTTTCTAGCTTCGTTATGAATATACAATAGCTTATTCTAATTAATAAAAGACTATATATATATATATATTTAATATCACTTTAAAAAAATATTGTTTAATTATCAAATTTATAAAAAAATTGACACCTTTGCATACAGGGTTATGAATATACAATATCTTCATTTATTCTCTTTCTTCTTCTTCTTTTTCCCTCTCCGATAAAGAAATAAGCACCCGTCTGTTTGTTTTCACAGCCTGTGCATTGTGCAAGCATAGTTATAAAATTTGTGATAAGCTTAGAAGAAGATACAATTCGAATTTTATAAAATTTAAAATGATTAAATATAAAATTTATAAAATTAGTTGAGATATTTGTAAATTAGTCTAGATTTTCATGTTAATCTAAAAAAAAATCTTCAAGCTAACTCATTGTTTTCAATAAAATGATGCTATTTTATTTTTTAAGAATGAAATAATATAATTTTAATAGAAAAAAAATCTGATTTAAGATGAAATAGTACCTCAGCAAAGTTACTAGAGTATGGATGATTAACTAAGCAGATGACACCATATGATCAGTGTATAAAAGTGGAATCTCCCCCGCTAATGGAAACACAATCTTCTTCCCTTTCCCTTTCCCTTTTGTTGCAGTTTTATCTCTCAAATGACATTTTCTTTTTGCTGAGGTCAATGACATAAGATTCGCTGATTGCATGAGATTATGAGGGTGGGGATACTGAATATTAGCGGGCTTCGGCTTTTTAAAATTAAAAATAAATAATAAAAAATTGGTGCGAGCCAAAGGAATTCCAGCTTGGCAGACAAGGCATCCTTGGCAAATACAAATCTCACGTACATCTACTTGTACCCCCCCTCTAACGTGACGGCAGTGTTTTGCACTGTGATTGGAGAGCGGTCTTGAAAATTTTTAATTTTTAATTTTTTTTAATTATTTTAAATTAATATATTTTAAATTATTTTAAATTTACTTATATTAAAAATAAATTTTAAAAAATAACTATTAGGATAGTACCTCCTCCGTCCACCCAACCACCCTGGAATCCAGCTGAGAGGCCTGAGCCATCACTCCTTTTCGAGAAAGATATTAAAGGATGCTCATTTTTTTTTTTTCTTTTATTTTTCCGGATGGCATAGTGATTTGGTTGGAAAACAGCTCAAAAGTTGGAACCCATTTTACTTTTATATATTGTTGCTTTTATTTCAAGTTTAAATTGAAAAAATTAAAAAAAAAACTCATGAATAATTTAAACTTTAGATATAAACTATATAGGACCAGCATTATACTGCGAACTAGTTCAAATTTTCTACAATGAAAAAAAAATTGATATAAATTTATCTAAATTACAACTTTTAACTCAATTGTTTCTAATAAGCAGTGTAATTATAATATTTATTAAAAATTCAATCAAAATATAACTTTTTTTTTTATAAATAAAAACTGATTAAAAAACACAATAGACTAGAGTGAACTTCTTTACCATACTCAAATATCCATTATTTTATTATATGACAGGGTTTAATTAGTTTCTTTATTTTAAGAGTTTTATATGGTTTTTAAAGTTAATTTTATCTTCTTACATTGTTTTTTTTTTTTACTAGTATAGATTTCTGGGTTAATTTGAACATATTTCAACTAATTTTACAAGCTCTGAAATAAAATTAATGATAATGTAAATCTCTAATAATTCTGAGATTTATAAAAATCAAACTAATAACTTATAAAAAATAAATATAAAACCTAATTACTTATAAAAAATAAATATAAAACCTAATCAGTTAACTTAATATTTTACTTTATTTTATTATTATTCTTAAATGTTACTGTTGGGGCATGTTGTTTCCTAATAAATCAATTCGAAATACAACTTTAACAAGTAGAAAAAACGGTGGCGCTAAAAAAAATTATGTATAGCCATAAATAATTCAATCATGCAATCTTGATATTTACCGGTGGCTGTGGTTTATCATGATTTTTTTTTTGACGTGGAATATCCTGTCTTTCATATATATATATATATATATATGAATTAAAAAATACAAGTATAGTCTTAATAAAGTAATAATCTCGATTAAATATTATTTTTGTTTAAACTTGAATTTATTAATTAATAGAATTTTCATGCTCTTAAAACAGTTGATTTATATAAGTTTAATTGTATTATTAAAAAACTTGATTTGATCATAAATTATGTTAAAATTTAGATCCAATTAATCTAATATTAAATTAGAAGGTTTGATGAAACCGATTAATTAATACCTTAATCCATATTTTGTGCATAAAATAGCTTATATGCTAAATTAATTAATATCTCTTACTAGCACCTAGGTTTTAAACATGAAATCTTCATCTTGAGAAGCTTACTTCCTGATCTAGAGGATTACTGTCCCAAAAAATTATTGTAGTGGAATGGATGTGTAGATATGCTAGAGGGGTAGTTTGGTCATAGAAATAGTGGTTGCAAGAAAACCATAAGACCATCGATATTTTGGACGCATATGGGCTGTGGGGGTTCCACCGTCAATGTGAACGAAGCAAACAAAACAAAGGTTGTAAGAGAGAAAGAGGAAAGTGAAATTTGAAAAAGGCCTTATGCTTTTAAGGGTTTTATTCTTAACACAGGTTGGTGCCATTGAAAAGCTTAAACCCCACTTTTCCATATTCAATATTATTATTGTTTTTTCTTTATTTCTTTTTTAATTCAGATCTTCATAGACAGACATGTAACAAGCAAGCTCACGGTGAAACTAAGTTGAAGGTTTCAACTTCAAGATTTGCATGCTAATGGGTATCCATTAGGCACTTCAAAAATTGAAAAAGACGGGTTCCTTTTGTTTTCTTGAAATAATAAGGGAAATATTTGCTATTTGTGGTTATGTTTGTATATATTCCTGGGTTGCTATAGTTGAAGCACTTTAGTTGTGCACTGTCCACAAAGAATAGATTCTTGATGTCTTTGCATTGCTACCTTGAAGTCTTTGTTAGCTCATTTTCTGCATCTATGTGCCAATTTGATCTGTGTGGATTCGT